ACCTCAAAGTATGAAAGTTTTGGTATAAAAATTCAGACTGAATGTAAGTAAATCGACTTCTTACAAAAAATTATGAATTTTCAGTAAATTTTTTTAACAGTGAAATACTGACTGACACTTGTTTAGCTCCTTTTAAACCGTCAAATCTCTACACCACTCCCCCTTTAAAAGAATTTTCTCAAATTGCTTCCTTTCCTTCAAAGTTATCACTTCTCCTCCTTTTAAAGTTATCACTTCTCCTCCTTTTAAAGTTATCACTCCACTCCTTCTTTTAAAGAAAATTATAAGTTCCCCAAAACTTTGACATTAAATTTAAATTTTTCTGCGTCATCTTGAGTGTTGAGCTGAAAACAATATCACGTCTGGGCCCCATCTGACTCAAGGTAAGGGTGTCCAGTCCTTCCTTGACACGCCATCAACGATCAAAAAAAATTCATGACCCTCTTAAAGAGTGGTTCAACAGCGACTCCCAGGGCCCGCCCAAAAAACTAGTTAGGGACCCATCCTGGGGTGCAACCATTTAGCCTGATCATTTTAAAAAAAAGGGAATTTTTACAGAAATTGATTTCTTGCTGGCTGGTCTTGTTGACTCTAGAAGACAATTCTAGAAGAGTTCTCGTAGATTCTCCTGTAACACCAAAACACTGCGCACAGAATTTTGTAACCTAATCCCCTCTAACAAACATTTGGGGTGATGCCTTGGTGTTGCAAATCCTGACTAGCTAGCTAAATCCTATCTAAACACCATTTTTGATCTAAGAAGACAAATTTAAACACTAGGGTGCGTCGATATGCACGATTTTTCAGATGCAGCTTTTGGGTAGCACTCAAAAGTTTCTTTTTTTTTTGTGCTGATTCCATAAATGACCTCGGTTTTGCGATAGGACAAAGCCTTCATGCCCCTCCGGGCGTTTTATGTCAAAAAGCGGAGTTTTTGTATTTTTTCTCGTTTTTTGGTTCCGCTTTCCCATCCCAAACTGTCGGGGCGGCTGTTGCACGGTCGGATGGCCACCGCCTACGCAAAATACAAGTTTTGCAGCTTGGTAGGACCACCGGACACCTCACGTGTGTGTCCCAACCTCAATTTTCACCCTTTTTTATAACAATTTTTCATTTTTTTCCCTTTTTTTTCAGCTTTTATCGAGGATTGTACCGACCCAGTCGGTCTATACCATGACCAAGGTTGTATAAAACATTTAGGGGTACATAGAACGCAAGGCAGCCCCCGGACCGGGCCTGTGTAGGGGGGGGGAGGGGGGAGGGAGGGGAGGCGGAGAAAACAAATGCCGAAATGGGCCCCAAATCAGCTGTTTTGCCCTGTTTTGCCTTTGGTAAATACTGTATTGCGGTGCAGCTAGCTCGGCAAGTGTTTCTACCCCTTGCCTACCCAGGACTCCCCACGAGCGCGTCCGCTACGAGTGGATACGCGCAGGAAGATGCCGCGGCACCGCCGATCGGAGCGCCCCCAGCGGCAGTGGTGGGGACTGGCGCGGGGCACCGTGATACTTACTACGTTTACACGGGAGAGCTAGCCTCGGTCAACTCGAGGGGGGGGGGAGTGGAGGGGGTAGGTCTCGAGCTAGCCGGGGTCAACTCACGCGCATAACACGTAGGGGGGTCAACGAGTTAGACCCCTCGAGCCCCCTGGCTAACTCGTTGCCGAGGCTAACTCCAACGTGAAAACACCACACGGTCAAGTAGGGTTAGGGTGCGCAGTGTTTTTGAGGTGTTGTAAGCCCATCTATTTTCTTTATTTTGAATACACCTTGAAATCGTTGGAAAAAAATTGGGAAGCAGTTTTCTGTTGTATGAAATCATTAATTTACTTATTCTATTTTATGTAATTTTTATTGATTTGATTTTTACCACTTGTAACTGATTGTTTCTGAATAAAAATATCCATTGTCTATTGCGTAAAGCAAATTTCGACCTGATTTCGACTTAAATTCGAAAATTTTTTAGGCTATCTTGAGGTTAGAAAGTCACCCCCAACGCCCACCGGCACCGCGTGAAAACGACGTCTGCTAGCCCTGTCTGAGTGGTGTCTCCCCTCCACTCCCCCCCCCCTCGAGTTGACCGAGGCTAGCTCCCCCGTGTAAACGTAGTAACTGTGCCGCCCCTGGCGGACGAAGGATTATGTGGGTGGGTCCGAACGGAAAAAGTGGAGAAAATATTTGTGCGGACATAACTGAGCTTCTTAAATAGTTATGTTGATTGGTGTTTGTGATTTTAATTTGTAATAGACCGCGTGAATAAGTTTACAGATGTTTAAGCCGATGAGGTGGTTTTCACATGTACATGAGACTACACAAACTTTGTCCCACACGTAACAAGTCGCTCCCTTCTTGGGCTCACTGCTTGCCTCTGTTGGATCCAGACCATGTCTGGAGCGCATGGCCTGTACAAGTTTTCTTGTGTTCATATGTATGGACACCGGAGGCCGACAAGAAATTTTTTTTTTAGAGAAAAGATCAAAAGTCTAAGGGGCCGTGTTGTTACTCACATGAACATGCTTCCTTTGAGTACATCTTCACAGGTTGACAGACAGAACAGAAATGACCGTAAACGCGCGCTTTTCCTTAAAATTTGTTTTGCTACTTGCTTCTTTTGTTCTGCCAACTTAATTAGTTCGTTCCTTTTTCTAGCGGTGTTTTCCCTTCCCCGGACCAGTTTGAAATTTCGCGTCTCACGGAGCCCCCCGCCAGTCCCCACCACTGCCGCTGGGGGCGCTCCGATCGGCGGTGCCGCGGCCTCTTCTCGCGTATCCCCTCGTACCGGACGCGCTCGTGGTGTGTCCTGGGTATGCAAGGGGTAAAACCTTGCCGAGCTAGCTGCACCGCAATACAGTATTTACCCAGGCAAAACAGCTGATTTGGGCCGATTTTCGGGATTTGTTTTCTCCGCCTCCCCTCCCTCCCTCCCCCCCCCCACACAGCCCCGGTCCGGGGGGTGCCTTGCGTTCTATGTACCCCTACACTGTTTTATACAACCTCTGGTCATGGTATAGACCGACGGGTCGGTACAATCCTTGATAAAAAACTGAAAAAAAGGGAAAAAAATGAAAAATTGTTATAAAAAAGGGTGAAAATTGAGGTTTGGGACACACACGTGAGGTGTCCGGTGGGCCTGCCAAGCTGCAAAATTGTATTTAGTGTAGGCGGTGGCCATCCGACCGTGCAACAGCCGCCCCTTAGTTTGGGATGGAATACGGAACCAAAAAAAGAAAAAATACAAAAACCCGCTTTTTGACATAAAACGCCGGTAGGGTCATGAAGGCTTTGTCCTATCGCAAAACCGAGGTCATTTATGGAATCACACAAAAAAAAGAAACTTTTGAGTGCTACCCAAAAGCTGCATCTGAAAAGTCGTGCATATCGACGCACCCTAATTAACACCAATGTTTTACCACACTTAACTTGGTAATTGTCCCAAGGCCTCGATGACTTGTTGTTGCACAGTCTCTGGAGATCCTGTGGCATCCCCTACTGCATGAATCCTGGTTCGTTCTCCATCCAGTTGTCCAGAATCAGATGAAGCTGTTGGATGTAACCTTTGGACAATGTGCTCTCTTCATCCCTTGCCCTTTGATGGTCCTTTTATAGGCTGTCGCTGCACTGCCTCGAAGATATTGAAGTATTCCTTTTTCTTTTACTGAGATACCATAGTCTTGGCTGTGTTGTCAAGCAATATATACTGCTCTTCGTTCATAAATCCAGCGTCTTTCTGCGTTTTTGCGAACATCTTGACCACACTATGTAGAGATCGCTCTGCGATGATGACAGGATTTTCTTGTTGTATAGCTTCTAGTTGAGTCTGCCACAATGTACTGAGCACCATTGATTGAAAGGTAAACGCCCA